CAAGATGTCTTAATAAAATGGAATTCCTCTTGTCCCCAGTATCTATATGTACATGAAGAGTCAATAGTTCAGCACAGGTATATTTCAATTAACAAAGCCTCTAACAACTAGCTCCCTTTACAAAGTCTTATTTATGTCCAACTAATTCCCTACTGTTCTTCAATGTCTCCTGTGTAGCTGTAAGGGTTCTTTTTTATCAGTGTCAGGATTTAGATGGTGAAAGAGGACTGGAGAAAACCAGATATTTGGTGTAACTTGCAAAAGCTTGTTTGTAGTAAACAATGTCATAAACAAAGCTTTATCCAGGAAATCCTAGAATTCTAATGTATCCTACTGTTGGCATATGTATCTGCCTACAACAAACAAGGTAAATAGCAGTTGCCTCTAGAATCCCTTACTGAGCATCTATGAATAACAAAATAGAGACAAAAAAGGAGAGCAGAAGAAGAGAATATACTATAACTTCATTTCAGTTTTTGTTGAGGTCCCTTTGATATTCTTGCAGACAAACCTGTAACCTGAAGGTGACATCAGTGCTATTCAAAGTAGTAACTGATGTCAGACCCCAATCATTGAGGGCTGGCTTCTTGAGTTTCCCGGAAATAAAGGAAAGAAATAATTGTAGAAACAACTGGGTCAGATGATACTACTGTAAGAAGGATTTGTAGCTCCTTTACAGACCAGACCAGACCAAATCCAATCATCACCATTTGTCATTATCCTGAAGAGAAGTCACTACTGAGATGTCGCAAAGTTCTGTCCTGGACCTAGCTTGGTCAAATATCTTTATAAAATCAGATTATTATTATTATTATTATTATTATTATTATTATTATTTATTTGACCAGTCATATGACCATTTCAAAATAGAACTCGAGTAAAAAAACAAGGCAAAAAGGTGAGGACAGCAGCTGACCTTCTATTTATCGTCAGAATCTTATTTTCCTGGTTCTTCTTTCAGGGAATCTGCTCTTTTCTTAATAGCTTTCAGAATAAAAAGGCTTACTCTGATTATGTTGGATCTTTCCTGACCTTGCAAGAGGGATGTCAGAATATCATTTCTGTTGGGGGACCTGCAGTTGGATAATATTGGATGTAAATATCTGTCTCACAGTTCAGTATATGCTGGACAGTCAATTAAGAAATGTTCAATGTCTTCCACTGTTTGTTCTCCCCATACGCAGAATCTCTTACTTCTTGGGATGTTACAGCAGCACCCGGTTTGCATCATAATACAGAGTTGTTCGAACCTAGCCCTAGTATATAGTCTTCTTAAGGGTAGTGGAAGTGGAATAGTTAGGTAGTGATCTAACTGAATATTCCTTTTGTGGGAAGCTAAAACCTTGTGGCTACCTATGCTCTCTACCTATGCTCTCTAAAAATCAGATGATGGAATACAGGGAATGCTCACCAAGCCTGGAAATGATCACGGACTGGGATACCTAATACTTTACAATGCATCTATATCCAACACAGTTATATGTCCCAATTAAGGAGTGGACCTTTCATTTAGCTTTGGTCAGATCTTACATAGGATATTGTGTCCGATTCTTAGCACCGCAGTTTAAGGACACAGACAAGAAAGGGGATGTTCAGGGAAAGGAGATCACAATGCTTTCCGATCTGGAAACATAACACTATAAGAAATACCTGAAAGAGTTAAGTATGCTTAGAATGGAGAAAGAAATTTGAAAGATGTCAGCAATCTTCATATATTAGAAGGGATGCCATGCGGAAGCTATACTGTGCTCATTTTTTGCTCCTCCAAAGAATGGAACCCAAATCAATGGATACAAATTAAAACACAAAAAAAATCTGCTTGAACATTAGGATTTTTCTTACATTGACTGAGTGTCAAAAACACTCTTCCCAAATGCAGTAGACTCCTCTGTTGGAAATTTTTACTCAAAGACTATACATCACCTCTCAGAAGTAGAGGACAAGGAGTTCAGTGAGAAGGAATTATATATCCATTCTGCCTACACAGAAGACAAAATGTCCCCCCAAATTAAATTCCTGACTGTCTGTTTCAAACAGAAAAATTGAAGTGTTCTGTTTATGGTATTTGTGTTACCAAAAAGGAAGATGTTTCAGTCAGGACAATTGAGGAAGTATACTACATGAAATTAGAAAATTTTCTTCCAGAATGGGGAAATTAATAATCATACACATAAATCATTTTTATCAGGGTCAACTAACTAACTCCTTTATCACCTAACTCCCAACTGACAATTATGGTTGCCTTAGCTCATTCCTTTCCCATCTCCAATTGCTAAGCAACTCCCTCCAATTTCATCAGCCAATCAGACTGCACTTCCAGCTATAAAGCTGCCTGATCCCTCCACCCCCCTGCTCTCCTTAGCTTTTCCAAGTCAGGCCTGTTTACTGCTTTTAACACCAACCCTGTAAGGTTGGCCAATCCATTACAGTGGCCAATACAGAAGTTGAAGGATTTTCAGATGACACCCTTGCAGTTGGTAAAACTGGAATTCTAAGGAAGAATGTGGTGTTTAAATTTAACATAAATGTGATATAGGTTTTCGAAAAATACAGTATATTATTTAAAAGATGGTTCAGACATGATCAATCATCACGATTCAACTCAGATAATCAAGCCCCACATTATTAAACAGTAATGATGTGAAGACTGAACTGTGCATATTCACATCACCACTGATAAACAATATGGGGCATGAACATCCACATTTTTTTCATTTTTACATGGGGTCCCAGAACCAAGCCCCCGCAGATCTTAAGGCACTTGGATAGTTGTTCAGAAAACAACTAAAAACATGGATGTGGAAGCAGGCAGTCGACAATAGTTGACTACAATTTAAGTGATTGAGGCTTTTAAACTGATTCCAATACCAACTGGATTTTTAATTGGTTATTAATAGGAACTAGTTTTTTTGCCTCTTATGTATATTTTATTCCAGCACAAAAATTTTATACTTCGTGACTTTTGATGTTTGATTTAATATTTTATGCTTTTGTTTTTGTATTATTATGTGTTGTTCTGTGTTGTTTTGCTTGTTATTATTACTACGCATATTGTATTTTTATTGTAAGCCACTCTGAGGCCCTTTTGAGAAAGGGAGAAGGATACAAATAAAGTTTATTATTGTTTATTATTATTTATGAAAAGATCTGCACAAAGACGTGACCAGACACACAACAAAACAATATCTATACAAAGGCATGACTAGGCTAGAAACCTAAAACTGATTATTCACATATCTCTCTGGAACAATTAAGAACAGCTGGGGGGGGGGGGGGAGAGCAGACATTGTTGGAACAAGTCAAAAACCCAAGTAATGAACTACTGGTAGCTTAAACAAAAAACATAAAGTTGAGATTTTTGTAAGTTTAGCAACCTGCAAAAAAGGAAAAAAAAACCAAAATTGTTGTTGCAATATTTCCACAGTACTGCAGTTAGAATTATTCGCATGGCAGTTAGCTAAAAAAAATAGCAGAAGGATTGACAGGAATTTCAAAGGTTTTACAGTGATACCTATAAACCAAATAAACTCCCCCAAAAACCCTAAACATTGAAAGGGCATTCATTTTCTTCATGACATCAGTAACCTGTTTTCCTGACCAAACAAGCACAACACCAACTGACAAAAATTAGATATTAAGTTAAAACAAAATATCAAGTCCAGATAAGTTAGGGACGGATTTATTTTACTGTTGTACTCAAGGGGATGTAACACCTATAGAGATTTCTAACTCCTGTTTGGGAATAGGCATGAGTTCTGACAGTTGGAACCAAATTAGGTTACGCCTAATAATTAAGGAAAAGTAAGCAGTTGACTTGTATAAACCAACTTCAAAGCTTAAATTTGGCAATAAAACCATGTCTGCAAGCCTTGCACACAAACTGAATAATGAAAGGTGTTGACTTTTATACTAACCCTAATCTAACAGTTAATAGTGAAGAAAACTCAAAAAACCATAAATACTTTCAATTATGCCCAATTAAAAATAAAGCACCAATCATATTGCGGCCGGGGGGGGGGGGGTGTTCCTTGACGAGAGAGGTGTGCCCTTGATACTATACAATGGAGGGGTTTTTTTTGTTCCAAACCATAGATGCCTTTAACACCTCTTCTCATTTTATTAAGATAATTGGAGCAAAACGTCCTTATTACAAGACAGAATTATGACAATTGGGCAAGCAACTAAAACTTTAAAAGGAGGAATGAACTCTCTTTTGTTGACACTGATTATTATAGATAATTATATTATAGATTATTATAATTGAACATTTTGAAAACTCTTTAAATCAAAAATAAAAACACTTCATTTTTATCCTGCCTTTCTCCCAATACAGAAATTCAAGGTGGTTAACAGCAAGTATGATACAAACATGGAATTGGGTTTTTTTTATTTTTCTATTCATATTTTAATGCATTTGCATTGTTTTAATTGTATTGTGTCATGTTTGCCATTAGCTGCCTTGGGAGAAAGGCAAGATAAAAATAAATTAAACATAAAGATACATATTGGTCACAATAAAGTAATGAATACATGTCACACAAGGAAATAACTTTAAAAAGTTTTGTTCTACTTTTGTCAGTTACTACCAAATATGTTCTGTCCTTATTGAATACAAATTGAATGATGAGGAAAAAAATCAATGTAAGGTCATAAAAGGCCATCAGATACAGTATAATCAGTATAAGAGTTATGGCAAAAAGTTTCATACTTCTTTCACTTAAATCAACAAGTTGAGACTCATCACTGAGTAATTCCAGAGTGCAACCAAAGCTAAGTACAGTTAGAGCTCTTTATATTTTCATCCAGCAAACCTACTGTTCTACTTACCATTCTTCCTCTCACTCAGAGGAGGAAGGTTAGGATTCCGGCCAGGATGTAGGCTTAAGGTCAGCTCGGGCTGCAAGGAGAGCTCCTGCAGCTCATTGGCAACAGCTTCACTCTGTGGGCTAGGTGCCCCTGAAAGAGACACCAACACCGCCTCATCTTCATTCTCGCCAACCCCTCCTCCGTCCAGCCCATTTCCAGGAATGACGGAAGGGGGCAGGCACAACACACCGGAGAAATCCACTTTGGCTTTCGTGATGGCAACCTGAAGAAGAATAGACAAAAGAGTTTAGGGTGTATTGATAATGCTACCCTGCCAGGTACAACCTTCCTTTTTTAAGCTATTTTCCCCCAATATATTTTAGTGTAATATGATCAATACTACATAAGCCCACTTATCACTTTTTAAAGTTTAATATAAAAATAAGTCATACAGAACTATGGTTGGTTTCCTTCTTCTGTTTCCTCTCAGTCACACTTCTAAAATGAATGCAAGATTAATCCTTCTTAGAAGGATATGATATGTTTACATTAAGCTAACAAAAGATGAGATACTCTACTACTGTTTATTAAAAATTGATTCAAATATTGAGTTTACTTTGGAAAGTCTTTTGAAGTCACAAAGAGGTGGGTACTGAATGCAGCCAATAATCAGAGGAGAGACAGTTCTTGGAAGTGCCAGAATGTATTCAAGCCCCATTTCACAATTCACCGTGTCTTTCCTGATGGATAATTAGCAACATTTAAAATGAAATGCCTTTTTTTTTTTAGTTTTAGAGGCAATAGGATCTTCTGAGGGCACTGAGAGAACAATGGAGCTTCAATTTGTTCAAGATTTCTGTCTCTCCAGCTGCAGCCCCCCAAGCCATATCACATATAAATATTCCTGAATGGATTTGCACAGAGGTGCAGAAAGCTGCTGAAGAAGAAACACTATTTGGCAACTTTTGAAGCTACAACTTTGTATTGTTAGTTAATTCAAGGAGTTTCAGTGCATTGTTGTCAATCATCTTGTTACTTAATACCTGAATTACCATAGTTTTGGAATGCCAAGCTTTGAAAGTAGCCTCTGAGACTCATTCAACACAGCTGCATAAAATCCCATATTATCTGCTTTGAACTGGAATATATGGCAGTGTGGACTCAGATAACCCAGTTTAAAGCAGATATTGCCTTGATATTCTGGCTTATATGGCTGTATGGAAGGGCCCTGAGAAACAGAACAAATTACCAAAGTCGAGGAACTAAACAAGGTTGCCCTTTATCTCCCATTTTATTCATACTAGTGATAGAATTATTCACAAATGTGATAAGAAAGACAAAGCTATAGAAAGAACAGGGCAAGAAGAAAAAGTAAAGATTAGTTTATTTACGGATGATACCTTGTTATTTATAGTAGAATCATCAAAAGCTTTAAAAATATTCAGAAAAAATGGAAGATTTTAAAGAAGAGGTTTAAAAATAAGTCCGAAATGATGCTAATTAACAAGAAATTAAAATAAAATATAAGATTACAATCATTGAAAGTTTCAAATATTTAGGGATAAATATAGATAAAAATATAGAGGATTTTTTAAAAAACTGATTTTTGATAAGCTGAAAGAGATAAAAGAAAAATGAGATATAAAAATTTAAATTGTCGTGGTTTGGGAAAATAACACTATGTAAAATGAAGATTTTACCTAAGATAAACTTCTTATTCTGGATATTACCAACAGAATTATCAAAGAGAGAATTTTTAAAATGACAAAAAATTATAAATAATTTTGTAATCAAGACAAGAAACCAAGAATAAATAAAAATTATGATATATATCCCAGAAAGGAGGAGGATTGGGCATTCCAAATATCAATTTGTATTATATTACTAATCAAATATGACATGTTCCAAATATGATAAACAGAATAGAAAACTTGATATGGGGAGGAATAGAGTTAGGAGAAATAAGGATTGTTTCTTTTTTTACACAAGATAATAAAAGTCTTAATGAAATTTTAAAAAGCCCAATTACAAAACCACAATACAGATTTGGCAAAAAAAATTAAAAACCACTTAGTCCTGGAATGTCACCACTGACTAGAGTTATAGATCTAGAAAAATTCCCAGAGAAATTTAAGACACAATTTATAAAGGACATGAAAAGAGCAGTAAGATTAAAAGATGAGTTAAATAAAGTCTCTTGGAAAGAAGATATAAAAGAAATGTACTACAATTGGATTCATGGACTAAGAATTGTATAAAGCAACACGGGAAATGCAGACAATTAACAAAAATTGAAGAATTAATAATTTTATTAAAGCAGAATGGAACAGATGAAGTAACAAAAGGATTAATAAGTAAAATTTATAAAATAATCATAGAAAGTGATCTAATGCAATTTGGAACAAAAAATAAATGAGAAAGGGAATCAATATAATAGGGGAGGTTGTTAAAATTTGGAAACAAAGAATTATGAAAAATATGTCTGTGAGAATTAAAGGAAATTTTTACAAAATAAATTGGAGATGGTAAGTAAAAGTAAAGGTTTCCCCTTGACATTAAGTCTAGTCATGTCCAATTTTGGGGTGCTCATCTCCATTTCTAAATCGAAGAGCCAGCGTTGTCCGTAGACACCTCCAAGGTCATGTGGCCGGAATGACTACATGGAGCACTATTGCCTTCCCGCCGACGTGGTACCTATTGATCTATTCACATTTGCATATTTTTGAACTGCTGGGCTGGCAGAAGCCAGGGCTAACAGTGGGAGCTCACGCCGCTCCTCGGATTCAAATCGCTAACCTTTCAGTCAGCAAATTCAGCAGCTCAGCAGTTTAACCAGGGTGCCCCGTGCATGGTACATGACTACAGTAATGTTATCATAATACAAACAGCGTACAAAATTGTTGGAGGTGCAAAAAGGAAATTGCGACTTATATACATTTATGGTGGGAATGTGAAAAGATAAAAGAAATTTGGGAAAAAAGTATTTGTTGAAATTAATTAATTACTATCAAGATTACTCTACAAAATATCCAAATATCGCACTTCAATGAAATTTTGGAGATATAAGATTAAAATGGCAAAAGGAAGAATTAATAATATTTTTTGTTACTGCTTTAAGATTAGTTATAGCCAAAAAATGGAAAGAAAATTATGATTATGAAATTGATTATTGGTATAAAGAGATGTGGAACATCCCAATAACCAATATACTGATTTGTGAAATAAATCGTAAAAAGAAATTAACAAAAAAGAAGTGATTTTGAGGTAATATGGGGTGAATTCTTAGAATATATATTTGCCAAAGAAAAAAGAAATAAATCTGAATCAACATACACTAGCATTTTGGAGAACGGATCAATATAAGAAGTATTAATATTAAAGATGAATATATGTCCCATAGAAGGGTTAACTTAGAGATAACATGTATAAAATATATACTTAATTGTTTAACTAATTAAATACATGTTTTGTGTCATGTCAATGTTAGTTGTTTGGGATTTGTATAAATTTATTATGATTTTTTTAAAGTAGCCTCTTCCATATTTGTCAGTCACCTATTTGTTTTAATGCTTTGTAAAGTGATTTTCCAAAAGTCAGAAAGAAATGTAGAAAAAAGGATTAATCACGAATAAAACCTTTTATGTATAATGGTTTTAAATTTCATATTTTTAAGCATTTTGTTCAAAGATTATTGAAAACAACTGGATGTGCTCAAACACGGTATTGAGCTGCTGAATTTAAAAATTAAACACAACTTTGGTTGTTAAATCCCCATAACATTAACATAGAAAATAATTTATGAAAAGCTTGTTTTACTTCCAAAGTTGATATTCTCTAAGTTAGTTTTCAAAGCCACTCATATTTGACTAAGGGACTTACATTAGCAAAACAAAGCAAGATACAAAAAAGTTTTTTTTAAAAAAAAAACTTCATAAAGAAGCAAAATAGATAAGCCCTTCATTGACATTACTTTTTTTAAGACCACTTTCAACAGGACAAAGTATCATATATACTTCACTGCCATGTGGCAGACAGCAACAAAGAGAAAGCAAATAGGTTAATTAGGAGTCCCACGTGGCACGGCGGTTTAAACCACTGAGCTGCTGAACTTGCTGACTGAAAGGTTGGTGGTTTGAATTCAGGGAGCTGGGTGAGCTCCCATTGTTAGACCTAGCAGTTCAAAAACATGCAAATGTGAGTAGATCAATAGATACTGCTTTGGCCAGAAGGCTCTTCGGCTTAGAAACAGATGAACACCACTCCTCAGAGTCGGACATGACTAGACTTAATGTAAGGGGAAACTTTTACCTTTAATAAGATAAAGAAAAGCATGGAGAATGCTAAAATACAAGAATCCTCCAAATGCAGTCTCAAAGGGTTTAGGGACATGTACATTGTACTCAGGAGAAAGCAAAATTAAAAGCAACATGTCCATTTCACCTGCAGAATTCTTTACCTTATTGGCAATATTCTTAATTTATGTTATTATCAATGTCATCAAAAAGGAGAGCATCTATGAGACAAATGCCTGTCAGATATCCATTATGAAATGAAAAATACCAAATAAATAACTTGTGATAATAGGCAGGAGATCCAAGTTAACACCCGCAGTTTCTATATCCTATCTCTTCTGCTCCTTTTCTATTCATTCCCCTCTAGCTAGCTACATGACCAAAGCAGAATTAACAAATTTGCTGTAACAATGTTTGTCTCAACCACTTTTATTGACTTTTTAAAAATCTGTGCATAGGAGGAAGTTGAAACGTGGGAACATTGTTTAGATGAAAATATCACAAAACGCCTCTAGTTCTAGAACCTACGTGAATTTTGCAACACAAAAGTGAATTGGAATAACTAAGATGTCCTTTCTGCCTAGATGAGGCTTAATAGTGTATCATGGAGCAGTATTATTCACTGATAGTCTGCATTACGAGAGGTTTTTATTAAGGTAATTCAACTTTAGGAGGTATGCTTGTTATGTTCTTTCAGTGTTGAAACTCTTTCTATCAGGGACTACACATGTAAAACTTTTCTACAATCTTTAGGATTGTATCTTTAGGATCAATAGGATTAGCTAATCCAAGTTTCTAAACTAAGAATTTCATTTTTTATCAAAAAGAAGAAAAAGCAACACTCAGCAATAAACTGTTATTTGTTATACATCATTTGCTTTAACAAATGTATTGAATTATTATAAAATAAATAAAAATATATTTTAAAAAACAATCAGCTGAAATTACTCCATTGCAAACAAGCAAGACAATCTACATAAAAAAATACTTC